CTGGCTCATGAGAACTAGCACCCTTCAAGTCCTCGAAATGACTCTCTGTCTCCAAACTTCCATGTGGATGTAGAGGGATTTTAAAGATAGGATTTTCTTCTTTTATTTGTAATGGTGTTTTATTGTCTGGAGAGGATTTACTCAAGGACTGGAGGATGCACTCCTGTAAACAGGGCTCCTCTGTATATTTTTTTTATACAAGTCCTTTATCAGATATGTGTTTTTCAAATATTTTCTCCCTGCCTGTGGCTTGTCTTTTCATTGTCTCAACAATGTCTTTCACAAAGCAGAAGTTTTAAAATTTTAATGAAGTCTGACTTATCAATTTTTTCTTTCATGGATTGTGCTTTTGGTGTTGGATCTAAAAACTCATGTAAACCCAAGATCACCTAGATTTTTTTTCTCGTCTTATCTTCCAGGAGTTTTATAGTTTTGCATTTTACATTTAGGTCCATGATCCATTCTGAATTAATTTTTGTGAAATATGTAATGTCAGTGTCTAGAACCATTTTACTGCAGGTGGGTTTCCAGTTGTCCCAGCACCATTTGCTGAAAAGATTGTCCCTTTCTCCATTGAATCACCTTTGTTCAGTTGACTATATTTATGGGTGTCTATTTTTGGGCACTCTGTTTTTTTCTGGTGATCTGTTTGTCCAGTCTTTTGCCAGTACCACTCTGTCTTGATTATTATAGCTTCAGATCCTCTTTGTCCTTTTTCAGTATTGTGTTAACTATTTTGGGACTTTTGCCTTTCTATGTAAACTTTAGAATAATTTTTTCTTGATCCCCAAAGTAACTCTCTGGCATTTCCATTGAGATAGTATGTGTCTGGCATTTCCATTGAGACAGTATGTGTCTGGCATTTCCATTGAGATAGTATGTGTCATAGTATGAGGGTAATGCTGGCCGCATGGAATGAGTTTGGAACTATTCCCTGTCCCTCTACTTTCTGGAACAGATTGTAGAATATTGGTATAATTTATTCTTTAAATATTTGTCAGAATAAACCAGTGAAACCATCTGGGCCTGTACCTTCTGTTTTGGAAGGTTATTACTTATTGATTCAATATTGTTAAGAGATACCGACCTATTCAGATTATCTGTTTCTCCTCATGTTGTTTTGGTAGATTGTGTCTTTGAAGGAATTGATCCATTTCATCTAAGTTATCAAGTGCTGCAATCATGGGTTTATATGTACCTTTTTAAAAAAAATCTTCCTCCTTAACATAATTTTTCTCATCAGTCCCAGTATTTAAACCACTTTATGTCCTCTCTACCAGAATATATCCTAGAATATTTCCTATGTTCCAGCACAATACTTGGCCCATAGTAGGTACTCAATACATACTAGTTGTCTTGATTACCTAATGACTTTGAGTAGTTGTAAGCAGTTTATAATGCACTTCTGTGTTCTTCATTTGTTTAATCTCTGTACATTAAGCTGGAGAAGTAGCAGTATCCTCATGTTTCACTCGAGGCAGGTGCCACTCAGAAAGATTAAATAACTTGAGTTTACTCAGGTAAGTGACCACAACTGGAGCATTAACCTAAATTTTCTAACTCCCAGTTTTAGGTCTCTGTACCTAACAACAGCCATGGTGATTTTCAGATCCATCTCACTTTGTCAGGTCCCTTGGGGAGAAGATAGGGAGTGACAGTTATTAAGATGTAAAGTTGCTCAAATATTTATAGTTTTTCCAGAAGAGGTGTTCACATAATAAGAGGTTCTCAGAGATCTTCTTAGCCACTAAATCTTTATTCAATAAACATCAGTTTATTTAAACTGATGCCTGACACCTGAATTGTATCGATTTCTTTCATGAACACTAGATGATAAGTTAGTGAGTATTTTTAAGGGACTATATTTATGTTATATACATTCTGTCTTCACTGCTTGCTTTTATTGATCTTCCTGTATGGCAAAAGTAATTCTTGGCTTCTGAGAAGCTGTTTATGACTGTCTTACTAAAGGAATTAAAGTAAACAAATGATATATATGCTGACCTGCTGTATTCATATTTTAAAGTAATGTGCGATAAGTGAAGATTTCAAACAATATATGTAGTAGGTATATATAGTAGATACCAGAAAGCAATAGGGGGAAGAAAGTGGTCATTACATCTTTTTCTAAAGTGTTCTTTGATAAAAAAGCTTATGTGAAATAGTCAAGTGTGTTCTTCTTTTATAGTTTACAAACAAGTTAAAGAGAAACCTCAGCAGTTATTCATTCATTGTGGAGGATTCTAACTGACATCTTTGGAAAGTAATTTGAAAAGCTAGTGGGTTATGTATGTGCTGTGCTGGAAGCCTTGAGTTTCCTTTTGCATCTATAATTTATATGTTGTCCCAGCATTAGATAATTTTCATAATTTTGCCTTTAAATAATGCATATTAAGGGAAATGTACTGATATAAACATAGACATGACCTATAAAGATTTCCTCTTCTTTCACAGAATTTAACCTTTTAATGACCTCTTCATTCCCCAAATCACCCTTGACAGGACAAATGACAGACCTCTTCTATACTAGAGCTATATTGTTAGTGTATTGGATGAACATATTATAATAGATATTAAGTAGGTTTTTGTAATAACATCTTTTACTTTCCATTGATATTTTGAAGAATAGGTGTATTTATTAAGAGCTTGACCAAAATCATAATTAAATGTAAGTTCAAAGAGCATGAACATGGATCTATTTTTATGCAAAAAAAGTTTTTAAAGTTGTCTGCTGTGTGAATGGCCTGAGTTGTTTTTCTAATAAAGGATTAGTCCACGATATCTAAAGTCTTGCCTTTTGGAAATGGTCTGCACATGTTTGACAGGAATATTTAGCTTAGTGATACTGTCTCTAGCTATGAAACAAAAATCTCCCCATTAAGTTTAAGTGACCTGTTTATGCCCAAACTTGGAATCTTGTTCATGAGTACACAACACACATAGTTATTCTCTACCCTCAGTTCAGCATATCCTCAGCATCAGGGACCAGGAACTTGTGTGGACACAATCTGTTTTAGACCAACTAAAATACTGAAAATCCATCATAGCTACAATTTGCACCCACCCAATCTTCAAGAGCCATCATCAGAGCCTAGAAGAAAAAAAGAGAAGTAAATACTAAGACTGTGTTGTACAAGAGCAGGAATTTTCCTCTCACATTTTGGAACCTCTCTTTTAAGTTTTTTCTGCCTTACAGTCTCTTTTCTTTCTTAACATCTGAACTCACAGTTACTCTTAATGCACCAAGATCTTAATAAACCTATTCCCTAAGAAGTAACCAGAAGTATTACCCATGTTTTCCAGCAAACATTTCTTATCACTTAGTTGTTCATATTGAATACCTGTATCATCTAGCAAACCCTCACTTATTACTTAGTTTATTGGTTTATGTATCTATACTTGGGAGATCAATATAGTGTGTTAATTAAAAACATGGTTTCTGAAATACCTAGATTCAACACCCAACTTATCTGCTTAATAGTTTTGTGGTCGTAGAGAATTCTACTTGACCTTGCTGAGCATGAATTTCTTCATTCATAAATATTCTGGAAGGAACTTCATGAAATGGGATTTATAAAGTTGTCCTTAGTGTTGTCCTTGGCATATGCTATCCACTTAATAAATAGAAGCTACCTCTATCATTACTATATAGTTGGATTTCCCTATATGGCATGGAAGAGTCATAAGTAATAGACTTTATATACTCACTCATTAGCAATTTTTAAATTATAATTCTCAGCCTAGCCAAAGGTGCAGTAAAACGAGTATACAAATATGCTGATGGAGATAAAAATTGCATGATACAACTTTTCGGTGGAACGTTTTGGCAGTATATAGCAATATCCATAAAAATTCTCTTTGAATCTGTAATTGCCTTTCTAGAAGTCTCCTCTAAAGAAAGAATCAGATTTAGACCAAAATTTACAGCCACTAGCATTTGACAATAGTGGGTAGAATTTGGGGAGTTGGAGGTAAACCTAAATGTCCAACAATAAAGTATGGTTGAATAACAAATGGTATTTCACATGATTCATACTCTGCAGCTGTTAAAAAATATTTGCTCACAATATACTATTAAGTAAAAAAAGGTATAAAAGTCAAAATAATCAAAATTGTACAAAATAATCAAAATTGTACAAAATAATCAAATTTTAAGAATTTTAAGATTCTTTCAAATTCAAACTTTGTGTTTCAAAAATTTAAATTACAATATGTCTTGCCCTTTCTGTCCTTCTCCAAATTTTAAGAAATACATCCCTCTCTCTTGCCCTTTGTCTCCTTCTCCAGAAACAAGATTGGAAGAATATAAATCAGAATATCAAAAGTGTTTATTACCTCTAGGTAGTTAGTTTTACTTTTTTTGTTTTATTTTTGTATATTTCATTGTTTTCCAAATTGTACATAATGAACAAGTTACTTGGTTACCTCATAGGAAAAGCAGTTGAAGGAAGATTGGGTGTCTAAGTATATTTTGTTTATTAGTAGTGACTTTGTTGAAGAAAACTTTGGAAAACTGAAAGCTGCTCCTTAGATCTAGAAACTCATCTCCTAAACGAAGTCTTGCCTCCTAAACTAAAGCAGTTTAGTTGGTTTGGGCCAGGAGGTGGCCAAATGTGGGTTATAGGAGTTGTTGGACAGATTCTAGATAATCATTAATTTGATTTTAATGTAGCAGATAAGAGCTCAGAGAGTGTAAGGTTATTTAATATGAAGGAGAAGAAGGCTCTTAGAGAAACAAAATCAGAGTGAAATTTAATTAGACTTGCAAAGAAGATTGTTAAACAAGGGGCTTGGGTCAAATTTTACTTATTTTTCTAAAATACTGTGATGGGCAGAGGGAGACTGATGTGCATTTCCAGTAGGAGGTTCCTGGAAGAATAAATATTGTGTGACTGTAGGAAAACACAAGAGTATTTGACTTTTTCAGATAACTTTTATTTTAAAGGAATTAAAAAATACCAAGAACAGAATTATAACTTTTTCAACTTTTTCCTAATTAGGATCCAGTTTATGGAAAAGGAAAACTTGGAGAAATCCAAGGACTTATTCTGGGAATGTTGGATACCTTTAACTATGAACAAGTAAGTTATTCTCTTTTCCTACACCTATCCTAAGGTAGAAAGGAGCTATTTATTTTTTCTTTGCACTTATTTTTCTTTAAAAATTGCCATCTATTTAGTGGAAGTTTGATATATTTAAGTACGGGTTTTTTAAATTGTTTAATTTTCCTTCACCTTAATTAATATTTTCTATACACACATACCTTCTAGAATGTGGAAATGCATCAAATTTGTAGTCATTTTACTGTTTTGATTCATTGGCAGTGGAACACATATCATTTTTCTAAATGAAAAGTGTGAGAAACCTCCTGGAAAAATAATTGAATGCAAAGATATAACCCATAAAAAGGAAGGGTCAGCTTGAGTATAGTTGTAAAATAAAATTAAATGAATGATTTTTTAAACATTCTGAAGCAGATAATTGCCACTAATCGAAAGTGGTCACTCATCTTCCCTTAATTCAAAACTTCCTATGGCTTCAATTATCAGTAGGAGCCAGGTTGGTGTACAGATTTTTTTCTTAGTATACTTCAAAGTGACTCATGAAGCCACCTAGAAAAAGCACCATTTAGGCATGTTCGATACAATGCCTGCTCTTTTCAATAATCAGAGAGAAGAAAATTTGGGGTGACGGAACTTTTCTTAGGGTATCATAAGAACTACAGGTTTACTGAGCATAACCCAGTGGAGCTGACACCCCTGCAGGCCCAGGCTCCGTGGTAGCAGAAACAAAGCTGACTGCAAGGCAGAAAATTTCTGTGAACTTTGGAAGAGGAGGAAAAGATGAGGGTGACTGAAAGAATTACTATGGTTAGACTGTTAGAATTGAACATAGTGGTTACAGATAAAGAGGAAGGACTAGCTTTCTCTTTAGCAAGGAGGATGGTCAGAATATCTTCCCCATTAGGGCTGACAGAAAAGAGCCCAAATGCACAGCTAAATTATATCCATAAATGTTGAGCCTTAGATACAGTATGAAAACAATACTTTATAAGCACATTCCTAAAATGACTTAATGTTATAGCCGTGAAAATGTCTTTATGTCACTTAATGACAGATGTCACAGCCTTGAGTAGATTCAAATGACTTGTAAGTGCTGATCAGGGAAATGTGATCTCTCTGCCCAAGGGAAATGAAAGCCGAATAATGGCCATTAGCTTTTTCAGTGAAAGGTTATTTGAAATATTGCCATACATGCAATTTCTATAGAAAAATAAGGGATTTTTTTTTTGTTATTTGGTATAACACTTTGAGCCATTCAAAAAGAACTTATATATTAAATGTAATAAATAGATTTGAGGTTAGCTAATGATTCAAAAGCCATCAGTACTGAATTAAGCCACAGAATGGCAGAGCACACATTTCTCAGTAGAAACTAATGACAGCCTTTTAATAGTTATTTCAAGAATCTTAGTGTATGCACTTGTCATTACTCTGCATGTTAAAGTTAACCACTTAAGCGTGGGGGTTTTTGATGTTTGTTTTATTAATTATGTGTCTTTGTAGTATATTCCAGTTTCAGCTGTTTGTGGCTGGAAACTAACCAGATACTATTCTGCATTCATCCTCTCTCTCTCTCTCTCTAAATTTATAAACATTTGTTTGTTTTTTTATCTTGATCTCTTATAGACCCTGCTGGAAACAACTACTAGTCTTCTAAACCAAGATCTCCATTGGTCATTGTGTAACCTGAGAGCTTCAGTCACCAGAGGACTGAACCCCAAGCAGGAATACTGCTCTATATGTTTGCAGCAGTACAAGAGACACCAAGAAATGGCTGACGAAATTATTATTTTCAGGTAAAAGAAGGAAGGGAATGTTATACACGTGGTATGCGGATATGTGTGTTATTACCAGGCAGGAGTACACCTAGATACAGAGCCTCAGCCAGTCATGCTAGCAGTGAATAAAGAAGGTGAAGTTCCTGCCCTCAGAGACTTTACAACCTGCATGGGACCTGGGAGGAATGGATGTTAGGGTTGTCAGGCAATAAATAAATACAGAGTAATGATAGCTATAAAAAAAACAGAACACAGGGTAAGGGGATGAATGAACTGTTCAGGATGAGAATGCTATTTTAAGATGCCATAACAAGAAAAAAATCTCTAAGGAAGTGACATTTGGGCAGAATGAGAGAGGTAGGAGTAAAGGTTCAGAATGTATATATGTATTTCTTATTGAAATATAATCGACATACAATATTGTATTAGTTTCAGGTGTACATCATAGTGATTTGATCTTTTTATACATCACAAAATGATCCCCATGATAAGTCTAGTTACCATCTGTCACCATAAAAGGTACTACAGTATTATTGACTATATTCTCTGTGCTGTACATTACATTCCCATGGCCTTCTTATTTTGTAACTGGAAGTTTGTACCCCTTAGTACCCTTTACCAGTTTACCCTCCCCCACAGCTCCTCCTCACTCTGGTAACCACCAGTTTTGTTTGCTGCATCTATGAGTCTCAAACAAACAGAAACAGACTCAGACATATAGAATGTATTTTAAGGATAGAGCCAACTTGCTGGTGTATTAGATGTGGAGCGTGAGGGAAAAATGTCTTTGGCCTGAGCAACTGTATGAACGTGGTACCATTGTAAGATGAAGGAGAACAGGTCAGAGGTAATCAACAGTTTTGTTTTGGAGGTGTTAGGTTTAAGATGGCTATTAGACATCCAAGGAGGGATATCAGATAGACAGCTATTCTAGTCAGAAACCTGGAGATATGTCCTGGAAATATAAATTTAGTAACCATCGGCATCTAAATGATACTTAAGGAAACAGTGCAAAGAGAGAAGATATCTAGTGCTCACCCAGAGAGGCAATATGAGATGGTCTCTGGAGCCTAATTTCTCAAGTTCAAATCCTAAGTCTGATGCTTACTAGCTGTGAGATTTTGGACAAGGTATTTAATCTCTTTACATCTTAGTTTCCTCACCTGTATGTTGAGATAATTATGGTACCTGCTTCCTGGGGGTTTGTGAAGATTAAATGAAATAATTTATGTAAGACACTTGCAGTAAGCAGTATATTAGTGTCAGGTACTACTATTGTAGATATAGGATAATGATAGATTTGGTGGTTGGAAGAAGTAGTTCTCATCACACAAAGAGCCCTTTCATTCAACAAATATTTATTGAGCACCTTCTGTATGCCAGGTACTGTTCAAGGGGATAGGGTATAGCGTTCATGAACAAAATAAAGGATCTGCTGTCATAGTGTTTACATTTTAGTGGTGGGGCAGACAAACAAAGAAGTCAATTGCCAGGTAGTGACTACTGTGAAAAAAAATAAAACATGTTAAGTGAAATAAAGTGTTTGTGGGAGGAGATAAATAGAGTTGTCAGGGAAACCTTCACTGTGACGGTGACTTATGAACAGACAATTTAAAATTAATTAATTTAAAATTAATTAGTTACCATGAATAAAATAACACATGGTATAGAGGAAAGAGAATGTTGGGAGCTACTAATTTATAAAGAGTAGTTAGGGAAAGTCTCATTATTTAAGTGACATTTGAGCAGAGACCTAAAGCAAGTGGCCATGCAAAATCAAGGGGTGAATGTCCTGGACAGAGGGTCCACAAGTGCAGATGGAGAGGCAGGAAATTCTTGGTGTACTTGAGGAGCAGTGGGTGAGTGAGACTAGTGTGGGCTAAGCAGAGCAACGGAAAGGGAAATTGATGAGAGATGGCCTCTGAGGGAGCAGCGGCCAGATCATGTAGAAACTGGGCCATTATAAAGAATTAAGCTTTTACTATTAGATGAGAAGCCACTGGATGGTTTTGAGGATAGGGTTGAAAACATGTGACCTGTATCTTAAGGATCACTTTGACTGCTGTGCTGGGATGGAGTATAGGAGGTCAAGGGTGAAAGTAGAGTGGCCAGTAATCCAAGTGAGCGATAGCCTAAGGTGATAGTAATGAAGTAGATATCTAGATACATTCTAAAGGTAGAGCTGATAAAATTTGCTTATAGATTGGATGTGAGGTGTGCAAGAAAGAGAATAGTCAAGGATGACACAAAAGTTTTTGGCCTGAAAAATGGTAAGAATGGCAGTTGCCATTTACTGAGGTGTGGGCGTTGTAGGAGAACAGGCAGTGGAGGTGGAGTGGGATGGAAATCAAGAATTTGGTTTGGGCATGTTAAATTTAAGATGCCTATTAGATATCCAAAGTAGAGTTCTTGAGAAACAGATGGGGTTTAGGAGAGAAGTCTGGGCTGAAGGTATAAATTTGGCAGTCATCAGCATGTAGGTGTTATTTTAAAGCTATGGAACTGGAAGTAATCACTAAAGGAGCAAGGCTATGGAAAGAAGAGCATTGGAGAGAAGGTTATATATAGAAAAGAGAAAGAGTAGAGAAGAGAGACTATATAGACTAAAGAAAAGAATTGGCATCTGAGGTAGTCCAATATTTCAGGCCGGAGAAACAAGGAGAAATTGGCAAAGTTGACTGAGCTGTCACTTCTGGGAGGCTCATTTGGTAACTTAGTGTAATCAGTAGAGAATTTTTTCATAGGAATAGTGTAAAAATTTGCTACAGCACTCACACTTGTGAGTGCTTAATCAAATCACAACTCCTGCCTTGAATTTGATGAGGAAGACCTCTCATGTCATTAATCAAGCTATTTATGTAATTACGATTTCTCCAATTGCCTTTTTTTTCACATTGTCTAAAAGTATTTCATAGTTTGAGAAATGAACTGTGGTTCTGTTCCTACTTGCAACTTAAGTATACAAGTAAGTATCTGAGTCAGGATTTTAAAGAGAGGACAGCCACAAGTAAATTCCCTTTCTTGTTTCTTAACCTAGACAGCCATCAGTGCATTCCAGCTTACTGGAAATCTTTGTCACTTACAAATACACTAACACAGCTTATGTTACAGATTTTATGATAACAAAAGGTGCAAATTGGTTGCCTTCATTTTGCAGCTGTGGCCATTTGTATCACTCTTTCTGTCTGCAAAACAAAGAGTGCACCATAGAAGTTGAGGGCCAAACAAGGTGGACATGCTACAAATGCAGCTCAAGTAACAAAGTAGGAAAATTAAGTGAAAATTCATCTGAAATCAAAAAAGGGAGGATAACCCCATCCCAGGTAAGACTTTTTTTCATGACAAGATGGAGGTGGATGCCTTTTAGGCCTGTCCTTTCCTGATTTGTTTTCAGCTCTTAAAAAGCCTCAACAAATTTACCTGATGGGTATCCAGTGCATGACATCTTCTGTTCAGTCCTATTTAGTGTTAGAAGAGCTTCTCCTCTCTGCCCAACCCAGAAAAACAGGGACTTGAGAGCAACAGAAGACATTTCTGCCCTTAAGAAGCTTAAGATCTTGTGAAACAGAGAGGATGTTTACACATGAGCCTGCTTAAGATCCTTTGACAAAATAAGAGGTCAGCAAGTACAACTGCTACAGTACTAGGGAGTACCTGTGTGCTGAAGAGTGTAGTGCCACCTCTGTTAAGTGAGTGGGGACACAGTACGTACACCTGTGCTCTGGGCATGGTAACTTACTTCAAAGAACTTGACACAATACTGTTAGAGAAATTTTCACTGCCTTTGGAGTCTGACAGATGGACTACTTACGATTTTTGTTCGTTTCACAGCCTCTCTTTTTTTTTTCTTATGCAGGCAGTGGAGCAGGGTTTGAACTCTACTGCTTAATAGCTTTTAGGAGAACAGAACTTGACTACACAAGAGGCTCGATGTGCCGGAGGGGCAGTCACTAGGGCTGTGAATTGGTCATTGTGTCGTTCCCAGTTACTTCCTCTTCAGAGAAATGGCGACCCATTTATTGTTGCCTGCTCCATCCTCTCTGCCAGCCCCTCCTGTAGTTGTCCTTTGACATCACAGAGTGAAAAGTTGGACCCATTGCTTTTCTCTGTTTAATTAGCTTTCAGCGTGTGTCAGAAGCAAATCCAGGGAAAAAACCCTGACCTGGCTCCTCCTAGGTAACAGTTCCAAATTTCTATACTCCAGTGGTAGGCATTCATTTATATATTCACCCAGTATATATGGGATAGTGTCCATTCACTACTAAGTGCTAGGTGCACAATGATAGACAAAGCCTTTTGTCTTATGTAGTTATCATCAATGAAATTATGAAGATTTTGAGTAAGTATTCTTGACTTCTTTCTGACAACAAATTCTATTAGTTCTCTGGATACCAACTGGATACCCAATGATTCAGTTCAATTCTGACACTAACTACCCAGAGTTAACATCACACTGCACAGATTCATCCCCACACGACTGCCCTAACTTCAGGACAGTTGCAAATGGGAGCCCAGGTTATCCACACTTCTGAATGACATGGTAAATTCAGGGGTTCCTGTAACATCCCCACCCCAGGTTTGATAATTCACAAGAACAACTCAGAGAACTTAGGAAAATACTTTATATTTACTCATTTATGACACAGATCCAACTCAGAGCAGCCAAATGGAAGAACACAGGGGCAAGGTATGGGGGTAGAAGTGTGCCTGGAGCTGCCATGCTCTCTCCCAGCACATTCCCTTCCCAGCACATCAGTGCGCTCACCAACCTAGAAGTGCTTTGAACTTTGTTGGGGAGTTTCTGTGGAGGTTTCATTATATTGTCATAATTGATTAAGTCATAGGCTATTAGTAACTGAACTCTCTCTCTAGCACCTCTCCCTTCCCCAGAGATGGCAGTGGGTGGGGAGGAGGGCAGGATGAAAGTTCCAACCTTCTAATCATGGCTTAATCTTTCTAGTGATCAGCTTCCATCCTGAAGCTACCTGGGGTCCACAGACACTAGTCATCTTATTAGCATACAAAAGGCACTAAGTATACATTTTTCATTATACCCCAGATACTTATAGGTAAACTATGCTGTAAGGGCAGATAATGAGTAGACCTAATCAAGACATGGGAAATTATGGACGACTTCCTTACAGTGCCATGTTAGCTGCCTCCAAAGGCAAAAAGAATTAAGCTAGACAAGTTTAGGTGCAAGGGCAGGTAAGAGGAGGAGGATTCCAGACAGGGAACAATATATAGAACAAACATATAGCATCACTACTGGGAGGCAGAGAAGAACATGGAACTGGACTCTAAGCATGATGGGACCTGGAGGGTGAAAGAGAGTGGTCTGAGATGAGGCTAGGCAGGTAAGCAGAGACCACATTATTCTGAGGTTTATGCTAAAGAAACAGGGAAGATATTGAGGGGTTTTAAAGAAAGAGTGATCTGATTAGAATAACATATTTTTTTTCAGAATAGGAAAAAAAAGAACATTGTAACTGCAGTGCAGAAAATGAATTGAAAGGTAAACAAGAATGGATGTGGGGAGACCAAGTATATTGAAGTAATTTAGAGGAGAGAAGTGATAACTTGTACTAGAATGATAGAAGTTGGGAGGGAGAAAAGAGTACATATTTGAAAGGTGTGTGAGAAGCACAAACATCAGTTCATGTGTCCCTGCTTACTTCCCTAGCCTCATCTCATACCACTCACTCTCTTTCACCCCCTAGATCCAGTCATGCTCAAATCTAGTGCCATGCTCTTCTCTGTTCCCCCAAGAGAGACTATATTTGAGAGGTAGAGTTACTGGGGGTGGTGATAAATTTGTTGGATGGGGAGGTATGACAGAGAGAGGAGTCAGAGTTAGCACCCAGATTTCTTTTTGAGCAACTGAGTGGTTAGTGGTACCATTCACTGAGATAGAAAGCAATAAGCAAAACACATTTGAGGAATAAGATAGAGAATTCATTGTCAGAGTTAAGAGATGTCCACAGGACATACATGTAAAGATGTTTGGTATGTTTCCAGATTGAAAATTTTATTAACTAGTCATCCAAAATGCTCCCTTGTTTACATTTAGGGAAGGAAAAACAGGCCGTGTAATTTCCAGCACATTTCCAAGCTGAATCAAAATGCAGATGGAGGAACTTTTATTTGTGCAGATATTTAAGTCATTACATCTTAGGGCAGTTCAGCTTTTTGCTTCTTTCAGTTATATCCTATTCATAAATAACTTGTGATTACATGTATATCATTGCCTGGATATTGCAATTAGACTTTTTCTTTCTTCCTAGATAGTACTGAAGCTAAAATATACTTTTTTTTTCCTTTTTAAAAAATACAATTATGTGTTATATATGTAATTATGTATTTTAATGCATGATGTATAAACAACAAAACTCAACTTCTGTGAGTTTTGACAACCACCTTTACAATAAGATACAGAGTAGTATTGTCACCCTCCTTTAAAAGTCCCCATGTCTCTTTGTCAATCTCACCTCCACCCTCAATGTCTTTCATTGTTAAGAAAACAAGTAAGATTACTGCTCAGATCTTCTTGAAAAAATATGTTTGATGCTTCCTAATAATGAAGCAAGCTCAAATGAGAACTATTTTGCATTTCTTATATTTTTCTCTAGCTGTCTGTTTCCCTTGTTTTTCTTCTAAGATAATCATAAAAAGATCTAGTGGATTGGTAACATAAGAGGGAAAGAGGAAATGAAATTTACCAAATATATGCTTTAGATGTGTTTAATCTTCACAACAACTTTATGAAGGTGATTTATATTTCCTAGTGTACAGCTAAAGGAACTATATATAGCTCAGGGCAGATTATGAACTCAAGTTTGTAGGACCACCATAACCCCATTTTCCTGCCTTCATCCTGTTGTATTTTTAGCATTCTGGCCTTGTTGAAACCTGTAAAATTGATTTTTAAAATAACATCTGTACCATATTGGCTGTGCCAATTAAGATTTCTTGCCATTGTGTGAGCCATTCACATTTTGAATTATATGAGAATACTACACATGATAAAATTATATGAAAATACTATAAAATTCTATATATGACTTCTATTAAACTTTACTTCCCAGAAGTTCTACTTTGCTCTCTCAATTGCGTTGAAAATCCATCAGCCCTGGTTATCAAGTTCCCAGTCAGCACATGAGGGTAACAGAGGTGAGGCCCCAGTGACTCCAAGATCAAGCTGAACTACCAGTCAGCTCCACCTATTGTTGTCTACTCGGAGAAGATACTGAATGCGTTTGAAGCTTCTCACCGCCTTTGTAACATGATCCATTGTCAAATAGCTTTTGTTTTATCTTTTTCCAAGACTTGTGATAATTTTTTACTTCTTCAATTTCTGACTCTAGTTAAGTAGGATGCAACAGTTATCCTTGAAACTGTGGTTTTGATGGATAAAGTCTTTCTTCTTGCCTCTCCTTGTCCCATCTCTGTTTCTCACAACTGGCCAATATATATATATAGCCAATAATTACGATGTATTAGTTACCTCCCAACAAGTTTGCACAGATATGTAGGAATTATTCCACCCAGAAAACCTGCTTTCCTTTAGAATGAGCACTTTTATTCTTTACAAGCAGAAAAATGACTCAAATTTCTTTCTTTCATTATCTTTCCCTTACCCTGCCTCCTCCCTGAACCTGGCTTATAGTAGCTCAGTCTGAAATGTTAAGGTCCACAAAATAGACCTTGCAAGTCTATCTGATTCTGTTTTGCATTGGAGAAACTAATCTCAACTGAAATATTCATTATTTTATTATATTCTCCTAACAAGTGTTACTCCCATATAATATAACATATTATAACAATATAATTTAAATTTTCTTTGATTAATCCCTTATTCAATTTATAGTAGCAAATAACTCATTGGCACTGATGAGCGTTAGAAGAAATTAATTTGTCATTCATTTTCAAAATAAGTGTCAGTCAACAGGCAACTTCATATAAATTCAAAGAAGCATAATTGAAGATTTACTAGATTTTAGTTTTAACATTATTAATAACAGGGCTTAGAGTTCTTGAGAGCTGATAATAAGCTAACACATTGTTGTGTACTAGAAACATTCAAGTTGTTATTCCTTTTAAAACTACAAAGAAAAGCATTTAGATACTCATTAAAACATTTTATAATGTATTGTTTGATATTTTTCAGATTTGGATAAATCATCCCTTATCAGTAAAGAGCTCTAGGTACATTAGTCAAGTTATCAGTTTTTGTTTTTGTTTTTTCAGGATGAGCCAAGTATCTAAGGGAGAAGGGGACTGTAAATAAACAAAGAGCTACCTATTTCTCCTTTAATAGTTAAAT